TAATATTTTATATTTTGTATATGATATTTTATAAAATATATTTTATATTTTGAAGGGACATCGATATAAAATCAAACAGAAAACCTTGGCACTAACTTTATAAAAAACAATGGGGAAGCAGGCATATACTTGCTTACGAAACGTTTTTTGTCACATTCCATCAATTCAAACATTACAGTTAGCTCTTCAAAAAATCCCTTTACTCCCTGGTTTAAATGGAGAGCAAGAGCCCCCTACCGCTCATCCTACTCTGAACCAACTGTCGCTGTAAAAATTAAGATTTCTACGTGATTATTTTGTGATAGTCAACCTCCCTCCTTAACTCCGGTAACCGTGATTACCGCCCTTGCCGCTCGGGGCGAGAATCACGCCGAGCCGTCATTGAACGGGCCTACGCCGCGTCCGAGGGGCATCCGCACTCGCGCGCCCCGGACGTGACACAGACACATTGGAAAAACGTATACGTACTATAATGGAAAGTAATAAAATAAAATCAAAAAGAAATACTACATATTGTTTTATGGCGCAATGTCATAACTATAAGAAACAGGGGATTAGTTTCCATCACTTTCCAAAAGATAAGAAGCTCAAGAAACAATGGGAAATTGCTTTAAAAATGGGAAAATGTTATCCGCAAGCATGCGTGTCTGTTCTGAACATTTTTTATCAGAAGATTTCTTTTTTCAAGGTAAATTATTCTTTGCAATAAATTAAATATATAGCGAGTTAACCTAACTTTTTCTTATGATATGAACCAATGTACCCCATTCCTGCTCACGTCAGATTTTGATCATTTGATTATAACAAATTACCATTGTTACTTAAAATAACGCGTTGTATACTAACAAATACGTTTCTTTTAATTAATAATACATCGCTTAGATTTGCTTTCTCAAGCCGAAGGACTAATATGAAATTATGAAATGCTCAAAAATTTACTTGCCTGTTTTTGAATTAGACTTTTTTCTTTTTCTATTGTAATACGTGGTTGATTTAAATGAAACTTAGGGAGAAATACCTATATTGTAAAAGAAATATTTTGCAGTAACTTTTCCATTGTTTTCTTTATCATAAATACATAAACGAAAGGCAATGCCAATTTGCCTTTTATGTCAATAAGAGCCCGGTCTTCCCTAGTCTATATCATTAGAAAAGACAAACTGGTCCTAATAAATTTTAATTTTTACAGGTAATAAGAAACGACATTATTTGAAGTCAAATGTTGTTCCCTCGCAGAAACTTCCAATTAGATCACATGATGCACAAGAGACATCTCCTCAAAAGCAAAAAAGAAAAGCTAGAGAACAACGTCTTTATTACAGAAAACAAAATCAGTATAAAATTTTTATACATATTAGCCCGTATTCAGAACGCACTTATAATATAGTATTTTTAAAAAGTATATACTTTTCTATTCTATTTTTAAAATCACATTTTTTTGATATTTTTAGAGACAAATTTCTCAGCTTGACTGATACAAATAATGATAAAGATACAATTGAAAATCATATAGTACAATCAGAAAACAGCAATTATGGTAATACTTATTTCGTCGATCGTACTGAAAAGGTTGAAGAGGTTCCAAGTTACGTAGATAAAGGAATTCAAACTTTTATACTTCCGCATATATCTCTCGATAATTTTATCACAAAATTAAAAAAAATTGTGCTAATTGATATGTTAACTGATCAAGTATAAAAATTAAATACTTTTACGGGATTGCATTCATTTGAATTATTGGATGGTACTGTTACGTGTGTTTCTGATTTGGAAATAAAAAATGTAAGCAAAAGAAAAGAAATGGATCTGAAAAACAGTAATCTTGACCTTTGTGAAGCTGAAACAAAATTTATCCTTCTCGGCACTGGCTGTGTTATTTCACGTGTATCACACGTCAAACGTGTACTAATTATTTTAAAAATATGATACCTCTCTTAGCACTTGTTTTAAAAACAATGATACCATGGCATGACCGGGAGATGATACGATCTAATATGCCTATTGCTTTTAAAAACTTCAATACCACACGAATTATAATGGATTGTGCAGAAATTCCTATTGAAAAGCCACATTATGTCAAGTGCAGAATATTGACTTATTCAAATTATAAAAAACGCCATACAATCAAATGGAATGTTGCCGTGACGCCGTCTGGTCTTATAGTACATGTCAGTAGCAGTTATGGAGGTAGATCATCCGATAAATTTATCGTTATTGATTCTGGAATACTTGATAGTTAGATCCTTATGATGCTGTAATGATGGACAGAGACTTTCTAATTGAAAATGAATGTTTACAAGTAAGATTTATTATGTGAGGCAAGTGATATCGTTAAAAAGCACGCATCGAGGTAATATACATAAGTCTTTACCTCCCAAACAAAAACTCCGGTGTGATATACAGTGTGTAACATTACGGATTCACGGCGACAAGGTAATTTTTAGAAAAAGTAATTTCTAGACTCTGGCCACAATGCAGGTTATATCCAGGAATCATACCCTGTTGCCGTGAATCCCTAATGTTGTACACTTTGGGTATAGTACTAGGGCTCATTCGGGAAGAAATTCATATATCTGTGATTATTATCTTGGTGCATACTTTCCAACAAAATATATTTTTTTCATTAAATATTTATCTTCTGCATATGCACTTATACATGCATACTTACACATACACACATATCTATTTTATAGTTTAATTTATAAGAATATTATATAATCATTTAATTCATAATAATTCATTTAATTCATAATCCATTTAATTCATAATTCATTTAATTCATTTAATTTATAATAATTCATTTAATTCATAATTCATTTAATATTTATTTAATTTATAATAATTCATTTAATTCATAATTCATTTAATATTTATTTAATTTATAATAATATTCATTTAATTTATAATAATATTCATTTAATTTATAATAATTCATTTAATTCATAATAATCATTTAATTTAAGAATATTATATAATCTTACATACATTTATACATTTTTTTCTATTTACACATAAAGTTTATTTAATATCCATCAGTATTTGAAATTATTTAAAACATGTTTAGAACTAAATAGATATTAAAAAAGATTGAACTAGGTATCATCTCAAATAAACATGATAACTGCGATGGAAGAAGCAGACGACACATTCCACTTGGTTGGAATGCAATATGTGCGATATTTTTTGAAAACAAGACTTCTGTTTTATGCTAAAGCATCATCCATTTGCATACTTTCATGATTTTCGTTCTCTCCACAGGCTCGGTATTCCTGGTACGCAAGGATTACATAAATGATGAACGGAGGTCTCTCAGTCTCATAGTAACCAAGTGAATCCGTAATGTGCTTTTTAACGATATCACTTGCCGAGATTGCAACTAGCACTTGGTGGATCTCTCATGTTAGACAATTCTTCAATACCGCGCGTTAAATTCAAAATTACTTTATTGCGTTGAATATTGGGTAAGATACCAAAAGTAAATTACCAATACATAATTACGGATTCAACTGAATTGATCGTATGTTTCATTTCTATGCACATTGGATGAGATACAGAAAGTAAATAACCAATCCATAATTACTGATTCAAGCAAATTACACGGATAGAAAAGAATTTTTAAAAATTCAAAAACTTGATTCGACATCACTTCAATGAATAATTTTCCACATTTTTCAATAATTTCTCGTTTGTTGGGGATGTATTGTATATTTAATCATTTATAACTGAATGTTTATGTTTATGAATGCTGGCATATCAGCATCATTGTGTAACAGCGAGCTATTGAACAAATAATTCCATAAATAATTACTGGAATCTGTCATCTAATAGCAGGGGCTTTATTAAGAAGGGTTTAATTAAGAAGTGCGGTTACCGTGTTACCGTGCTACTAACGAAGAATTGAATATCCTCAGTGAGTGTCCTCGCCTGACTCCTTGCCTTATGGGTCTTCTCAATGTCGTCTTTCGTTCTTGCGATATATATAGCCTAGCCATTAGACAAATATGTCGGAGGATGGGTTTAATCTGTCGTATATCGCTACTGAAACCTTTCGTGCACTTTCACGGTAATTTATTCTAGACTTTAACACCTAAAAATGTAATAAAAGTTCACAAAGCAATTGTTTTTTATTTAGTGCAACTCATGAAACTTTTAAGGAAAAGAAAACTTATCTGAAATGCCTTAATGTTAGCTTCCTGGAAGCTATTTGCACTTTCTCGTTCTCCACGCCAAGATCCTTTTACCACTGTCTTTTCCACGGAGATATGGGATTAAAATACTGAAATAGATAATCACGGAAATAATTCAAGATTCTAAACAATATTTAAATGTAAAATAATAAATTATAAATACCATATAGATATATGATCCGTTCAACACATTAAAATATAATCAATTGTTCTTACAACTTACCATAGTCTGCATGCTGTTGAAAAAATTTCGTTCACATCTGCTGTATTTATTTATTTAAAACTCCCGAAAATTCAGGTTATTTCGTTTTTACGTCAAATCAGTGTTGTTAGACGGAACGGATTTCTGACGCATGCACGTCCAATGTAGCTTCAGTAACGTACCGGTCACTAATAAATAGGGGGTGGCACCCAGTTGGATACGGCTCAATTGGACACGAGCCACTCACAGCGCTTGAGACTACAAAGCTCCTAAGCACCGGTCGCTGTGTTTGGTGGTGTCCAATGGAGACGTGGTCAATCGGGATCACCCCATAAATAGGAGATCAATAATCGCCTATGTAAAATTTTTTCAAAAATGTTGAAAATTTTAATATATTTTACATATTTTACATATGTATACATACATATAAATATACATAATATATTTCTATATATGTTTACATAAGTAAAATATGTAAAATATATTAAAATTTTCAACATTTTTGAAAAAATTTTACATAGGCGATTATTGATCTCCTATTTATTAGTGACCGGTACGTTACTGCAGCTACATTGGACGCGCATGCGTCAGAAATCCGTCCCGTCTAATGGTACGTTCCCACTGAGCGCGTCACGCGTCACGTCGTCCATCGCGTCACGACGCGACGCGAAAGAAAGAAAGAAAGAGTGAAGTTTATATATGTACACAACCCCTCTCTTTCTCTCTTTCGCGCCGCGTCGTGACGCGATGGACGACGCGACATGTGACGCGCTCAGTGAAACGTACCATAACACTGCGTCAAATGTCATTGTAAGCGAACGTAAGGTTTAAGGCTCGTCTACAATACACGGAGTAAAAAGTAAGAGTAAGAAATTGACCAATCACAGTCGATTATTCTTCTCACATTCGACTGTGATTGGTCAATTTCTTACTCTTACTTTTTACTCCGTGTATTGTAGACGACGCCTTAAGGCCATGGCACATAAAAAACTGAAGGCGTAAGATTTAAGCAGTAAGCGAATCGACCAATCACAATAGAGACCGTAAGACCATACGTAATGCGTGGTCTACAATGGCAGTAGCAGTAGTGGATTAGGTTGTAAGAGTAAGAAATTGACCAATTGCAGTCGATTATTCTTCTCACATTCGACTGTGATTGGTCAATTTCTTACTCTTACAACCTAATCCACTACTGCTACTGTCATTGTAGACCACGCATAAGCAATAGCGAATCCAACATGTTTCGTTTAAGTATCCAACATGTTACTGCTTGAAGCGGGTAGCACAGACTCTTGCATAACGCATAACACGTAATGCATAAGAATATGTACCAATCGAAGTTCTCCGTTTCTTTCCCTTCCATGTAATAGAGAACTCTGGTTGGTTCAATTTCTTATGCCTCATGTGTTATGCGTTATGCAAGAGTCTGTGCTCCCCGCTTAAGTCTTACGTCTTAATTTTTTTTATGTGCCATGGCCTTTAGTCGTGTCTTTAATCGTGCATGGATTGTGAACATTAATGTAGAAAGGTGGTCACTTCTCATTTTGTGAAAATTTCCGAGGGACAGAATCAATTACCGTGGGTTAGGGTGCTGTCCCATGACAATCGGATTTCGGAAAACGGAATCTCGGAAAAGTACTAGATCGGAAAGTACTAGACTAGAATCAGAAGACACGGCAG